TCACTGAATTATAGTGGGAAAAAGAGAGTCATTCTTAAGATTTCAGTAAGAATTACAGAGAACACTACCATTACATGTATTTCAGGTTTTTGCGCTAGGCTTTTGTTTTTTCCCCCCTTTCTTTTTTGGGGGTTTTTATTTTTTGTTTTGGATATGTTGTTTTTTGGTGTTTTGGTTGGTTGGTTTGTTTGTGTCTTTTTTTTTAACTACAAAGGGATGCCTTCCTATCAGTTTATAGAGTTGCAAGCAATGAATTTACAGATTATTTTATCGTTTTCTTTAGTCACCAGCACATTACAGTAGGCATTGCACTAAAATGCATCATTTCATCCTTCTGAAGTTTTACGTATCACTGTCTTCAGAGTGTGGGAGGATCAAAACTGGTCACAATTACATCTTTTATGCATCCTCTCCATAGTCTCATAAGACAACTGATGATTCAGATGCTCTAGGAAGCTCCAGCTTTAATGCTGCAAGAGATTTGTTCCAGCTTATCTGTGATATACTCTGAAAAAGCATATTATTTGATAATATTGTGGTCAATATTCACACATCACTTGTGTTAAAATGTCCATATCACGTATCTGGCTGACAGGTGACAAAAATGCCAATTAATGCTTGTTACTTTTGCTATGTTTGCATCTGAATGCCACCCTAAAAATATTAAAAGTGAAGGGTACTTAAGCAGAAATCAAAGACAAAACTAATACTTTCTGCTACCAGAGTCAAAGAAGCACTTCCATGCAAAAAAACTTGCTGTTAGCAGTTTCACCCCCACATCCTTGGCTAGGCAAAGCGAGATAACAAATGTTAAAGATATATTAACTGATATATTACCTTATATATTACCTTATATATATTACCTGTTAAAGATATATTACCTATACTGTGTTCAGTTTTGGGCCCCTCACTCCAAGAAGGACATGGAGGTGCTGGAGCATGTCCAGAGAAGGGCAACGAAGCTGGTGAAGGGTCTGGAGCACAAGTCTTATGAGGAGCGGCTGAGGGAACAGGGACTGTTTAGCCTGGAGAAGAGGAGGCTGAGGGGAGACCTCATCGCGCTCTACAACTACCTGAAAGGAGGTTGTAGCGAGGTGGGGGTTGGTCTCTTCTCCCAAGTAACAAGCGATAGGACAAGAGGAAATGGCCTCAAGTTGCGCCAGGGAAGGTTTAGACTGGACATCAGGAAAAACTTCTTTACTGAAAGAGTGGTCAGGCCTTGGAACAGGCTGGCCAGGGAAGTGGTGGAGTCACCATCCCTGGAAGTATTTAAAAGATGTGTAGATGAGGCGCTTAGGAACATGGTTTAGTGGGCATGATAGTGTTGGGTTGACGGTTAGACTTGATGATCTTAGAGGTCTTTTCCAACCTTAATGATTCTATGATTCTATGATTCAGATGGCAACAAAGAATCAACCCTTAAGCATATCCTTTTACACTTCTTAATAATTTATTCACATATTTATTTAAAACTGCATATAGTCACATATCCCACAAGATTGTTGGGAGGTACCTTATTTTGTTAAGCAAGCATCATTTACTTTTCCATCTCTCCCACATATACATGTTTATGGTGACTTTTACAAATATCTTATCACAATCCTAGTATCAAAACACTGCAACCTCACAATGAGAAAACCCATCAAAATAACCCCCTCATCCCATATAAACACACCCCAACCCAATAAATCAGCACATTACCAGGCATTACAGTGTTCTTATTTAAGCAGCAAAAACCAACCATGGTCTTCCTTGTCAAAGCTTCACCATTCCTATACCCACCGCTGATATACCAACTACTAAAAGATCCAATCCCAATCCAATTCCTCTTGGGGTTCAATTCTGTTCTAAAATCCATGGATTAGCAATGTCCGATCTACTACAGGATGCAGTTCTGAAGTAAGGTTATATCCATATTATCTTCAATCAATAACATAATTTATCACCGCAATCAGCAGGTCAAGAAAAGTCACCATCCAAAATACAAAGTAGACCAAAAAAAAGGATAGTTTATATAAGGTGACCAAAAAGTTAACACGAATGTACAAAAGAATTGTAAATACATGTGATCTAATCAATCTAATGCTTTGTAGCTGTAAAAGTTTTTTGAAGAAATTACTGTTCATTTTAAACATTTTTTATTATCTGAATAAATGTAGAACTTTGCCGTGACTACAAAAATGTAGCATGCAGTTGCATCTGCCCTTCAGTACTTTAAGCCTCAGTCAATATCAACTTTGTAATCATAATTAATGTCTCATAATTTCACAAAGTAGAAAATGACAATGCTTTCTTCTGCATTATTGTGTGTTCAAAAAAAAAAATTTTAGATGACTATAATAGCACAACAGCAGAATTTATCTTACAGGAGGCTTCCTAACTGACATTTCAAGAAATCTTGAGCCCTTGTACCTCAGATATTAAAAAACCAAACCAAGCCAAACAAACACCCCCCAAATCCTTCTTTTGCATAACTTGAGCAAACATATGAGAAGCATGAGCAGTAGTTTAAAAGAAACCCCCAAAACCACAAACCCTGAGTCTTGAATCTTGTTAACATCATTACAGTTATATTCTACGACAGTAGCAAGAAGAGGAAAATTATTACGAATTAACAACAACAATTCCTATATTTAATGTTATTTAAAAATCAAAGTGTTACCTAAGGCAATTACCTTGCAGCCTTTTAATATCTACAGGGAAAAGCCTAAGGGAAAATAATTGACTTTGCTAATTTTACCCTTGGCAATTACGAAATAGCTCTGCATTTCATTACGACTACAGAATTTCACATCTAATTGTCAGCCCCGAGAGAAGCACAGAGATAAATGCATCATACACCAGCTTAGACAAGAATTTAACAGCACAATAAAATTATCGTGGTAACAGTGGTTTCAGCTAATGTTAAAAACCCCTTTAGTTTAAATTCTAGTCTATACAACAGCTAGGCATGTCTATAGAGGTTACAGCCTACCATGGTCAGTACCATGTACAATACAATGCTGCTCACTTCACTAGACAATTTGCTGAGCTACCAAATAAATGCCAGCAAAAAAGCGGTACTGTGATTTTTACTCTGTACATCAAAGAAAACAAAACATTATGAAGGAAAAAAGTCACAGTTATTTCACACTGCTGAAAAACAGATGCCAGATTTGAAAATTCATCATTTACAAAAGAATAAATACAGTATGTTTAAATCATTGCACCTGTCAAGAGATTTCTATAGCTTGTACTTCAATTTTTCTAACTTTGCTAGTAGGGTTAGACGTATGAAAAAGAATAATTTACTAAGTCAATCAGTTTCCATAATGGCATCCCACTTATCGTATGTAGAAGCTATGAAAGTATTTAGATGTCAGAAAAATGAAAAAAAGTGCTAAAATGTTTTGGCAGAATTTTCCGACATGCAGTATAATGATTGCTTAAAAAAAAAGGAAAGAAAGAAAAAAAAAAAAAGTATTTCTTTGCACTTGTGCTTCATTTCACTGTAGGCTTGTTTCCTGGCAAGTCTTCAGGGATTATCCATTGCTGCTGCAATACTTAATGATGTACTAAATGCAAAGTAATAGGTGCTACATTTTATAACAGTTTCCTCTTATGTTGAAACAAAAAATTGATGTAGGGTTAAATCCTTTGGTCTGTCTTGAGAATCTTACTAAGTACTAAAAAAAAAAAAGAATGGATACAAATCAACAATAATTAGTGAAATCAATTGCACCCCATTTTGGTTATGGTATGACTAAAATTTTGCATTATTTAAAATTTTTTTTTAATACTTACTACCAGTTACCACCATAATGGCTTAACCCACTATTCCAGCAGATTGACATCTAATTTTCTGTCTCTTCTCCTGAATCTCAGCTCCGTGTTACAAGATGACACCACTTTTGAGAGAAACTGTCACACTTATGATCAAAGCAGTACAGAAATACTCAAATACCATCACGAGGAGCTTTAGATGAGAATCTAAAAACAATAGACTCCTTCAGCTCAGGATTAAAACTATGTCGATTATTGACAATTGCACGTGTGACAAATGTTTATTTTACATTACGATATGGCAGCAATCTTCAGACATATAAAAAGTACCCCTGCAAAGAAGAATTGCTCTCTGTTTCCACTGGAATGGCACACACATAGTCACGCACAGCCATACACATAGTCAGGTGTTACAATAGATGGCACAGGGATGCCCAGGAATCTCTCTCCACCACGGAAGGTTTTAAGAACAATCTAGACAAACACATGTCAAGAATGATTTGGTGTAGCTGATCCTGTCTGGGGAAAAGAACAACCGACTACAGAGATGATCTCTTAAGGTCTCCATCAGTCTCATTTTCTAAGATCACACGTATATACAATTCATTTGTCATGAAAAACATTTCCCTGTAAAGTTTCAAACAGTTTGGCTGAGCAGCTGGATTGCAGCTGCGTTTTAGAAGCCAGTACATCCACTGTACTGTTAATAGGGCAATCCAATACTCAGGGGCATCCAAATGCCTAACAAAATAATTTCATTAAGAATAAAAAGTCACCTGAGTGCTGTATAGACAAAGAAATGAAGCCTTTTCCCCCAAGAATTCCTTAAGACAGACAAACCTTTCACAAAGAACACGGTAAAACAAAATAACAAACCAAACATGTCTTCAGCTGGCAGTCTGCCAGAGGTGTTGTATTCCATCATGTCATGAGGATGCCACTGCATATACGTTAAATTCACCAAATTAACCACTCATCCATTACTACCTGTGGCTACATTGCTTCAGAATGTGTACTAAAGGCCTCACCACAGTAATTCTATAGGACAGTGGTAAACATTTCACAGCAGCAGCAGCCCTGTCAATCCATCTACAACTACAATGTAAGTATGCTGATTTTTAAAGGATGCTCCATGTATACATACATATCGTAAATGCTGATTTTTTAAAGGACCTCTCTTTTGGAAGGCTCACTAATAGTTACTTGCTCCAGCAGTAGAAGAATTTTTTTCTTTTTACCTTGGTATTCTGTAACTGCGCAAGGCTTGTGCAAGCATTTGCTAGAAGAAAATCTCCACTCAAAACAGCCATTTTATTTCCAAACTGCATATCCTTCAGCGGGCCATCGCATGACTTGAGCTCACCAATATTTACTATGCCACGATGCACCAGAAAGGCAGTGTGGATCAGTTCCGTAATCTCAGCCAGACTTCGTTGACTGAAAGCAAAGAAAAAGAACAATTATTTTTGATGCCATGAATAAAAATATAGATTCTTAGGGGAAAAAAAACCCTCACAGGTCATGCTATGTACTAAACAGATATTTTATTAATTATCGTGTAGCTGTTCTATTTACCTCTAGAAGCCACAATCGGCAAGTGTTAAGCCGAGAGAAGTATCTCATCAGGCCTCTAAGTATTTCCAGGTAAGCCGCGGGTACCACAGGTTCCATTTGGAGGAACGCTGTCCTTTGTTAGAAATCTTTCGCAAAAAAACCCCTAAGTAATCAATACAGTCCCATGGTGCTTTCTTTTTTTGTTTTGACTTCTAGAAGCTTGAGGGACACTGACATGAAGAAAATGCCAAGCAGAAAGTACTGATGGGAAGGAACAAAGGATGTATCAGCAGGGGAGTCGCAAGCAAGCCGATCTGAACACCGTAAGAATGCTGCAGTCAATGGCTGCTCAAATTAGAGTTAAATTAATAACAATACAGTCCCATGGTGCTTTCTTTTTTTGTTTTGACTTCTAGAAGCTTGAGGGACACTGACATGAAGAAAATGCCAAGCAGAAAGTACTGATGGGAAGGAACAAAGGATGTATCAGCAGGGGAGTCGCAAGCAAGCCGATCTGAACACCGTAAGAATGCTGCAGTCAATGGCTGCTCAAATTAGAGTTAAATTAATAACAAGACAC